GTAATTAGGCTCAGAGCACTCTGATTGGTGGGTTTAAGCCATCCAATCAGAGTGCTCTGACAGGTAAATGAAGAGACTGACAGGTAAGGTCCTCCCCCCTGGCCCCCACCCCTGAGCGGCGGGTGGGGGCCCTAAATACTAAAAAGGGGGGGACCTAATGTCCTCCCCCCAGGCCCCCACCCCTGAGCGGTGGGTGGGGGCAAATAAATCACAATGGGGGGGGACCTAAGGTCCTCCCCCCTGGCCCCCACCACTGAGCGGCGGGTGGGGGCCCTAAATACTAAAAAGGGGGGGGGACCTAATGGCCCCCACCCCTGAGCGGCGGGTGGGGGCCCTAAAATACTTATTGGGGTGGAGGACCTAATTGGGGGTCCTCCCCCTGACCCCCACCCCTGAGCAGTGGGTGGGGCCCCTAAATTAGAATGAGGGGGGAGGACCTAATTGGGGGTCCTCCCCCTGACCTCCACCCCTGAGCATTATTTTACTTTAGGGTCCCCACCTGCCGCTCAGGGGTGGGGGCTGGGGGGGAGGACAATAGGTCCCCCCTCATTATTTTACTTTAGGGCCCCCACCCGCCACTCAGGGGTGGGGGCCTGGGAGAACAATAGGTCCCCCCCATTATTTTACTTTACAGTCCCCACCCTTTAGTTTAAAAGCCTAATGTCCTCCCCCCCGGCCCCCACCCCTGAGCGGTGGGTGGGGGAAAATAAATCACAATGGGTGGGAGGACATTAGTTCCCCCCCCCTTTTTAGTATTTAGGGCCCCCACCCGCCGCTCAGGGGTGGGGGCCAGGGGGGAGGATCTTAGGTCCCCCCATTGTGATTTATTTGCCCCCACCCACCACTCAGGGGTGGAGGCCGGGGGGGAGGACATTAGTTCCCCCCCTTTTTAGTATTCAGGGCCCCCACCCGCCGCTCAGGGGTGGGGGCCGGGGGGGAGGACCTTAGGTCCCCCCTCCTTTTTAGTATTTAGGACCCCCACCCGCCGCTCAGGGATGGGGGCCGGGGGGGAGGACCTTAGGTCCCCCCTCCTTTTTAGTATTTAGGGCCCCCACCCGCCGCGCAGGGGTGGGGGCCGGGGGGGAGGACAGTAGGTCCCCCCCCTCATTATTTTTATGGCCCCCACCCACCACGCAGGGGTGGGGGCGGGGGGGGAGGACAGTAGGTCCCCCCCTCATTATCTTTATGGCCCCCACCCGCCGCCCAGGGGTGGGGGCCGGGGGGGAGGACAGTAGGTCCTCCCCCCCATTGTAATTTATGACCCCCACCCGTTGTACAGGGGTGGGGGCAATAGGTTTTTTTTTGTTTTGTTTTTTTTACAGTGAGCAGCCACTCACTGCTCACTGCTTACTAGACATTTTTACTTGGTATTAGTAAATGTGGCTGAAAGACCAATTTAGGTCTTTCAGCCTTTTAGTAGATAGCTCTCTAATACCGTTGGAATTAGGGAGTTATCTACTAAGCGGCTGCAAGATGCAGCCGCGGATCGGAGTTTGCATGCCACAGTCCAGGTGTTAGTCCCCTTGAAACAACTTTTCCATCACTATTGTGGCCAGAAAGAGTCCCTGTGTGTTTTAAAATTCGCCTGCCTATTGAAGTCTATGGCGGTTCGCCCGGTTCGCGGGTTCGCGAACATTTGCCAAAATTCGCGTTCGCCGTTCGTGAACCGAAAATTTCATGTTCGCGACATCACTATCAATGAAGGACCTAAAAATCAAAGTACTGAAAGGGGGTTTTAAAGTTACCAAAGAAAGAAAAACCTTTGAAGCCAGAATGATCAAACTGTTTAACAGCAAGAATAGAGGACTAAATATTGATTTGGGTTTCCTGTCCCACTACCAACACTTTACATGAACACCCCCCAACATTATCTTACTGTTCTATCATATGTATCAAAACTATAAAACACATTTCAATATGTTTATTCTATCAATATACAAAGTACTATGTATAGGCCTATGCTTTCCCATACTCTTATGCTTGTATGCTTATATACGCATTTATAATTCTGCATGTATGTATATGTAGCGATATATATATATATATATATATATATATATTTGTGTGTGTATGTATAAGTATGCCATATTCTGCACTGTCTGCTCATATTATTTGTTTGTTTTTTCTCCCTCTTCCTCCTCACTCTGACCTTCAGAGAGATATTTATGACCATCTACAAGAATGTTGTCTATCAAACCTGTGTCTTATCTGCACTTATGTTGCTTTAACCCCGTATCACAACTCAACTTTGAATTCTATTTGCCGTCTTGTTCAGAAATGCTTCAGACTTGAGAAAGGGAGGTTCTCTCGAAAGCTTGTCATTAAAAAATCCTGTTAGTCCATTAAAAAAGGTATTACATATCAAAACCCCACCCCTCAGGCACCACTGACACCCCTCCACACCACCTGGCTAGTAACCTGTAAGACCAGGCACTTTACACACCCAGCTCCCCCCCCCGTCCACGCCAGCAACCTCCACCACCCCTTCCTTACCTCAAACCCCCCGAAACTAACCCATCATACATTTAAAGAACCTCCTCAACACACCATATGCCCGTCATACCCAAGGCACCAAAGATGCCTAGAATACTCTTGTGCAAATCACTAATCTGCAAGGGCCTCAACAACCCAATCAAACGACACCAACTATTGAGATGGGCAACCCGCTCAAGAGCAGAACTGATCCTCCTCCAAGAAACACACTATGATGACTCTAGACCCTTCCCTCTACGCAACAAACACTATACCACATGCAATCTAGCTAACTCCCATAACGTTAAAAATAACGGTGTGGCCATGTGGCACTGTGGCACTGAGTCTAGTGGTGTTGTGGAGACAGGCTCAGTCACTGAGTCTAGTGGTGTTGTGGAGACAGGCTCAGGCACTGAGGCTAGTGGTGTTATGGAGACAGGCTCAGGTACTGATGGTAGTGGTGTTGTGGAGACAGGCTTGGAGACTATGGTGAGGCCTAATAGAAAGCAGTTGTTGTTGGGGGATTCCATCATAAGAGGTGTGGAGATGGACAATGGTGGTCTTGTGAGGTGTCTTCCCGGAGCTACTGCTCACAGAGACAGGAGACATATCTGTAATATTGTTAAGTGAGCAAAGCAGGAAGGGGAATCAGATGTACTTGTCCATCTAGGGACAAATGACTTGGCTTGCAATGAGGTTTCAGAGGTTAAGGAAGTTTTTAGTGTTTTTGCCAATGATATACGGCAGGTTGCTTCCACACTGTCATTCTCTGAAGTTCTGCCTGTGCATAAAACTCAGAACGACAGGCGGATGCGTATTAGGGACTTTAACTTGTGGCTTGGTGAATGGTGTCGGGAGCAAGGATTTGGTTTTATTTCTCATGGTAGCTCTGTTTGGAATGGAAATAAACTGTACAAAAAAGATGGTTTGCATCTTTCTCAAAAGGGAACAAATGTTCTCAGTGAGCAGTTCAGAGGTTTTGCTAGGATGTATTTAAACTAGGAGGGGGGGGAAGGGTGATAAAACATCAATCCAATTGTCCCCCAAAACAAGGACAGAAGGTGCCTGTAGCAAGTGTGTTAAAAAATGATAAGCTTAGAGTCATGTCTACAAATGCTCGCAGTTTAGGGAATAAGATCCATGAACTTGTGGCAATAATGGCAACTGATAGTGTAGATTTAGTCGCTGTTACTGAGACATGGTATAATGAGAAAAATGACTGGGACATAGCAATACCAAAGTACTCTTTATATAGAAAAGACAGGGAAGGCAAGAAAGGGGGAGGGGTGGCCCTGTATGTGAAAGATAGCAAAAAATCTAGCCTAATAAAGTTAGTGAGGCGAACATAGAGTCCGTTTGGGTTACGTTAGAATTTGGTAATCACACAGAAAACAAAAATAGCTGCTTGTGCCAGGAGCATACATATTCTAAACTCCCTACTGGGATTGTCTCTAAAACAAGTCGTTGAGGAGCAAACTCGTAAAGAGGCCATACTAGATTTATTGTTAACAAATGGAGATTTGGTATCAGATATTACTGTAGGTGAAAGTTTAGGATCCAGTGATCATCAGTCAGTGTGGTTTAATATAAAAACAGTGACTGAGTCACCACACACAAAAACAAAAGTTTTAGATTCTAGAAAAACAGACTTTTCTAAAATTAGAATATGTGTAAAGGAGTCATTATCAGACTGGAGCAATTTAAATGGAGTCCAAGAGAAATGGGATTATATAAAAGTTGCACTACTGAAGGCAACAGAAAATTGCATTAGGCTTGTCAGTAAAAGCAGAAAATTCAAGAAACCACTGTGGTACTCCGCAGATGTGGCCAAAATAGTAAAAAAACTAAAAGTTAGCATTTAGTAATTATAAAAAAAAAAACAGAGTGAGGAAGACAGAATGATCTATAAGATTAGGCAGAAAGAGGCTAAACCCACACCTCGTAGGAACGGGTCCATCCCCCATCCCACAAGATTAGATAAAACACTCTCAAATTTAGTACTCCACACGGGCCTCCACGACATATGGAGGCTACACCACCCCAATACCTTGGACTTCACGTTCTACTCACACCCCCACTCCTCATACTCTAAAATATACATGTTCCTGATCTCCCCTTCCCTGCTACCCCAGGCCACAAAATCAACAATAGGTACCATCGCATGGTCCGACCATGCGGAGATCTCTCTCGAAGTAGAAATTCCCTTAGCGACCAGGACCTGGACAAGGAGATTAAATCCCTCTCTACTGCAAAACCCAGACATTAAACGGGCCACACATACCACTATAGAACACTATTTCACTGAAAATATAAACTCGGTCACTTCGAATAGCTCACTCTGGGCAACACACAAGGCGGTAATCAGGGGCACACTAATCGAACATGCCACCAGGCTTAAAAAACAAAAACTCAAGGAACTAGAACATCACATAACCTCCTTAAGAGCTATCTCAGCTCAACACAAACAGGACCCCTCCACAGAAAAACTAACCCAAATAAGTGTCCTCCAACAAGCCATCTTAGCTTTTATGACCAAAGACTCCCAAAGGGCGCTCCTATGGACCAAACAACTCTTCTACAACAAGTCCAATAAGGCGGACTCACTCTTAGCCCACAAACTATGCCAGAAAACACAGGCCAAAAATATAGACAAAATTAAATCCCCCAGAGGCACCACGTACACCACCCCTGACCGAATTGCCTCCGTCTTTGCCGCATACTTCACAGAACTCTATAACCACAGATCAGAAACCAGACAAAACCCAAACCACCCAATCGACCCCCAGGCCATAGAATCTTATCTTGGAGACATCCCCCTCCCAGCGCTGTCGGAGGAAATGAGAGCACAACTTACAACGCCCATCACGACAGACGAAATCGCACTCACAATTAAATCAATCAAACCTCATAAGTGCCCGGGACCTGATGGATTTACAGACCAATACTACAAATCATTCTCGGACGCCCTCCTACCCCACCATGCCTCACTGTATAATTCGCTACTCCAAGGAGACGCACTGCCGGAAGATATGCTGAGGTCAAACATCAGCCTAATCCCGAAACCAAACAAGTCACTCACCGACCCAGGCCATTAAAGACCAATATCCCTCCTTGACGTAGATATCAAAATCTTCACAAAACTCCTAGTAAACCACATTCAACTCTCCCTACCCAAATTAAACCACCCCGATCATGTGGGATTCATCCCATCAAGACAAGCTAGTGACAATACCAGATGCACACTATATCTCATATGGGTAGCAACACATAGAAAGATCCCGACCCTTCTTCTATCCATGGACGCCGAGAAGGCATTTGATTGCCTCCTCTGGCCCTTCCTTTTCTCCACCCTCCGAAAATTCTGACACCCCGATCTAATAATTGCGGCCCTAACATCCCTCTATGACAATCCAATGGCCACCCTCCTTATACCGAACTCCAGACCTACATCAATTAAGATTAAAAACGGCACCAGGCAGCGCTGCCCTCTTTCCCCGCTCCTCTTCGCCCTCTCCCTAGAACCCCTCCTACAAAAGAGACGCAACTCCCCATTAATCTCTGGTCTTAAAGTGAGACAACACGAATACAATGAACCCAACCCAATCCATTCCTCCCCTACTGGCACTCATGGAAGAGTATGTTGCAGTCTCGGGATACAAACTAAACCTAGACAAAACGGAGACCCTTCCATTCGGGATCCCGGAGCAAGAATTAGACAACCTCCACCATTCACACTCATTTAAATATAATAAAACCAGTATTCCATACCTCGGCATACTCCTACCTGCTGACCCCGAATCCACATATACATTAAACTATACCCCTCTGATCCAACAAGCCTATATAGACATCCAAACCTGGAACACCATGCCAATCTCATGGATGGGACGGATCGCCTCTATTAAAATGAACTTACTCCCCAGATTTTTGTACCTATTCCAAACCTTACCCGTCCTGATCTCCCGAAAAGACTTCAAAACACTTCAAACAAAAATAGACAACTTCATATGGTCTAACAAAAGACTCAGAATAAAAAGAACTACAATGTATAAAACCACAAAAACAGGACTGGGACTCCCCAACTTCTATAGCTACTTCCAGGCCACCCAAATAACACAAATACAGCAACTACACGCTCTCCCAGGACTTAAATTATGGGTAGACCTTGAGCATGACCTCATGGGTAGGGACCACCCCTCACTGCTTCTCTTGCTCCCCAAACAATCCAGACCCCACAAACATCCCCAGCCCTATATACCTAATTTCAGGTGTGGGACAAAATCATACCAAAAACCCAACTCCCCCTCACCCCTAACCCCACTCCTGAGAAACAGAATGCACCCCCGAGATTTCACACACTTCAAAGACAATGGACTCTACTGCTTCTATCCCTTCTTCCGATCCAAGCAGCTACTCCAATTCCGAGATCTACCCAGACACACACCGCTAAACTCTTTTGACCACTTCAGGTATCTACAGATCCACAGCTTTTTACAAAACCCCCAACACTCCTCCACAGCCACCACTACCCTGACTCAATTTGAATGTGACTGCATACATACCCCAATACACAAAGGCCAAATCAACTCCTCTTCCCCAACAGATGCACTCACATACACCAAAACGTGGGAAAGAGACATCGGCCCCCCCAACGATCCATCAGACTGGATGGCAATTTGGGAGGCAACAGCATCCCTCACCATATGCGTTAATCATAGAGAACAGGCCTATAAAACGCTTCTCCGGTTGTACCTGACGCCCCTAAGGCTAAAGCAAATGAAATGCTCGACCACTGACGAATGCTGGAAGGGATGCGGATCGCAGGGTACCTATATCCACGCCTGGTGGGAGTGTCCTCACATAACACAACTCTGGTCAAAGGTAGCCGACCTGGTGTCAGATCTCCTACATACCGAGATTCCCCTAGACCCATGGGCTTGGCTACTATCTAAACCATACGCCCCCCTGCTTACGGCACAAAACAAACTACTCACCAAAATCGCCTTGGCCACCAGGCGTACAATAGCCGAACAATGGGGCAACAACCATGTTCTCAATGAACCCCAAAAACTCATTAATATCAAAGCTGAATATTTTTGGAAGTAGTTTTTAGTTTTAGCTATGTTAGGGGGATATCTGTGTGTGCAGGTGACTATTACTGTGCATAATTATTAGGCAACTTAACAAAAAACAAATATATACCCATTTCAATTATTTATTATTACCAGTGAAACCAATATAACATCTCAACATTCACAAATATACATTTCTGACATTCAAAAACAAAACAAAAACAAATCAGTGACCAATATAGCCACCTTTCTTTGCAAGGACACTCAAAAGCCTGCCATCCATGGATTCTGTCAGTGTTTTGATCTGTTCACCATCAACATTGCGTGCAGCAGCAACCACAGCCTCCCAGACACTGTTCAGAGAGGTGTACTGTTTTCCCTCCTTGTAAATCTCACATTTGATGATGGACCACAGGTTCTCAATGGGGTTCAGATCAGGTGAACAAGGAGGCCATGTCATTAGATTTTCTTATTTTATACCCTTTCTTGCCAGCCACGCTGTGGAGTACTTGGACGCGTGTGATGGAGCATTGTCCTGCATGAAAATCATGTTTTTCTTGAAGGATGCAGACTTCTTCCTGTACCACTGCTTGAAGAAGGTGTCTTCCAGGAACTGGCAGTAGGACTGGGAGTTGAGCTTGACTCCATCCTCAACCCGAAAAGGCCCCACAAGCTCATCTTTGATGATACCAGCCCAAACCAGTACTCCACCTCCACCTTGCTGGCGTCTGAGTCGGACTGGAGCTCTCTGCCCTTTACCAATCCAGCCACGGGCCCATCCATCTGGCCCATCAAGACTCACTCTCATTTCATTAGTCCATAAAACCTTAGAAAAATCAGTCTTGAGATATTTCTTGGCCCAGTCTTGACGTTTCAGCTTGTGTGTCTTGTTCAGTGGTGGTCGTCTTTCAGCCTTTCTTACCTTGGCCATGTCTCTGAGTATTGCACACCTTGTGCTTTTGGGCACTCCAGTGATGTTGCAGCTCTGAAATATGGCCAAACTGGTGGCAAGTGGCATCGTGGCAGCTGCACGCTTGACTTTTCTCAGTTCATGGGCAGTTATTTTGCGCCTTGGTTTTTCCACACGCTTCTTGCGACCCTGTTGACTATTTTGAATGAAACGCTTGATTGTTCGATGATCACGCTTCAGAAGCTTTGCAATTTTAAGAGTGCTGCATCCCTCTGCAAGATATCTCACTATTTTTGACTTTTCTGAGCCTGTCAAGTCCTTCTTTTGACCCATTTTGCCAAAGGAAAGGAAGTTGCCTAATAATTATGCACACCTGATATAGGGTGTTGATGTCATTAGACCACACCCCTTCTGATTACAGAGATGCACATCACCTAATATGCTTAACTGGTAGTAGGCTTTCGAGCCTATACAGCTTGGAGTAAGACAACATGCATAAAGAGGATGATGTGGTCAAAATACTCATTTGCCTAATAATTCTGCACTCCCTGTATGGTTTAGTCCCCACTAAATATTAGCCATATGTCCATCTGATCAGGTGTGTAATATGAACAGCTAATAGATACCCCACATAGAGTCCAGAAATCTACTTGTGAAGTGAAGCATAGTGCTAGTATATAGTAGAGTGGATTGTTACTGGCAGCAAAACTCCACTAGAGATCCAAGTTAAAATCAAGAGCAGCTATAAAACGGCATACCCTAGCTCAAATAGACCTAATAGACCTATACCCTATTGAATTCACTGTTTTTTATATTTCTCTATTATTTATATAAATTAATAATTTATTATCAAAATGGTTTGTATGCGTTTTTACACACACACACACACATACATAAATAATTCCTGTATTTTGCAAGTATAAGCTCTCCCTAATTGTTGCTGAAAAAAATCTACAATCAATAAATCTTTAATACAAATTATTTTCATAATTACCATATATGAAATTTTCCACACTGAGTATCAAAATATATAACAAAGAACGCAATAAAAGTGAGTGCACCATATTTTTCTTTCAATAGGATGGAAGAATACAATATATTTATGATTATGCTTTATTTTTCCTTTTGTTGTAGCATCTGCTTATTTTATTTATTTATTTATTTACAGAAGACATTGAAAAAAATAGATCAGTTCAGTTTTTCTTTATGGTTTAAATAAAAATAAGCTATGCAGCCCTTACGTGAGATATATACATTTGCATTTTTATGATGGAATAACAGCTGCTGACATATTGCATTGTTAGGATTATTGATATGTATTCAAGTAAGCTTAATTTAAATATTGTTATTTAATATCTGTTGTTTTATATTTTAACAGCCACACATTGGTGTTTGTGAGAGATTGCAAACACAAGTACCAGTAAAGGTAGTTTTGAGGGTACTCTATCAAAGTACTCATCATCATAATGTCAATTACGTGAGAATAAATAATACATATAATTTCTTTTCAAATTGTTAAAATGTCCTCAGATATTTATGTGTTCTACCTATATACCCCTAGGAACCCTTGAAGGTAGTTGGCACTACCTTCTCTGAAACAAGAGACCCTAGGGGTATCTATCTGTACATTTTGCAGAGATATGGGGATCTTACAATAACAACTATCCCAAAAAATATTGTATTTTTTTTTTTTTAATAATGGTTTAACCTTTTTTTATATCTATTTGAAAAGAAACATTGTTCTTTTACAAACAAGGTCTGTCTGAGTGGAGGGGGCGTGGCTAACAGCCTAGCAAGATGGCCACATAAATCTATGCTCTTGCATCTGGGCCACGAAAGAGGCAACAGTAGGAGACAGCTATCTATGGATGCGGAGGATTGCTCACGCTGGAACAACCTGCGACTAAGAGGCATCCCAGAATCTGTGGAAGTAGCAGACCTCCCTACATATATTCACGGCCTACTCAAAACGCTGGCACCGGAAATAGCCACCAATCTACTATTATTGGACCGGGTGCACCGTCTCCCCAAGCCCAAACATCTGGCTGCAACTGT